CTGTGCTTTTCCTGCTAAAACAACTGTGACCATCTTAAATAAATGCAGTGAGGTTATTTCAAGGCACCTGGGAAACATAACAGGAAAAATGGTGTGTTGAGTTTACCTTGCTGGGAGTTTTAAGAGGTGAAATAGCGATCTTTTTGCCGGGGATACTTTGTATACTTGTGTTGTGTGGCTCGGAGATGGTAATGGTCCTCGGGGGCATCACTGGGGAATTCTGCGTCAGGACCCGTCCTGTGAACACGTGGAGTTGAGAAATCGTTGCTTAACAACAGAATACGGGAGAAAAGCTGACGTTGTAGTCTTAACTTTACCGACACAAAAAGACGGCAGTGTACAATAAAACCATGATGTAATAACGCAAATGAACGTACCGGCAATAACAGGAGATACTGATGTCTGAGGACTCAGACCTTTGCTGTTAACAGGTTTTGCGATGATGAACTTGATTGGTGCAGCTGAGGATGTTGGTGTTTTCTTAGCAAACTGTGGAGACATTGATGAGCATTTTAGTCACACATTCACAACTTAACACACATATCATTTTATTTTATTTTATATTTTATTAATTCATATTAGTGTCGTCTAGCTTGTTTTGTTGTGTTTTCATCTCATCTTTTTGATTTAAAGTCTGTAAACCTCACTGAGTGGAAATTGAGACAATACTTTTTAAGCTTGTGCAGACTAAGAAATAATATTTAATGTAAAAAAAAAAAAAAAGTCACATCTGGCGAATCCACTTAATAATACCCTGGACTGCATCAGCACCAGTGTATCAGATCTGTGCATCACTTCTTTCTCTGCCTGGTGATTTATGATGTCAAATAAGCCTCAATTACCCCGTCTTTTAATATTAATACATTATTAGCAAACACAGGAGTCAGAAAACACACATGTAAACAGACAGAACTGTAAAATAATAGTGAAAGGCCTACAGCACAGCTCATAATAAAGTATTAACGTTATTTAAAACATTAACTTTGTAATAAATGTTAGATTTTATCAGGTTTGCACTCACTTAAAATCTGCATTCTTGCTTTATTTAAATTCATTTTTAACTTGATTGTCTCTTTTTTTTTTTTACAGATGTGTGTGTGTGTGTGTGTGTGTCTGTGTGTGTGTATCAAACTGTAGATATTTCTGTCTTTTCTTCAAGCAAGCTCAGTCTCCGTCACAACAGCACATTTACAGGAAGATAAACAGAAAGGTAGCTTCACCTTCACGATTGAAAACACTGCTGCTTGAACCTGCTTGTGGTGCCGTAATGTCTCACCTCAGATACAAACAAACTGTTTTACTTTCTTATCAACCAACCCAGCAGGAGAGCGGTAGCAGTTTAACAATCAGCTGTTGTTAAACGTCAGCTTAGAGCATCAACGCCCAAATTAATGTTTACTTGTTGGACCGGCCCATTGAACATCTACGGATGGAAAACAGTGAAATCCAATCTCACACAGCCAGTCATTCTTTTATTACAATGCTCGTTTGTAAACAGTGCGTGCAGTCTTATTAGGCACAGCTCAAATTTGCCAAAGCAATTATGTTTAATTCAACACTAAAATGTGGTAAATGAACAAACGTCTGATATATTAAATTGTCAAATTACATCCATTGGTTTAAATATTGTTCTATAAACACAAATCAGTTTTACCTGCACGGCCTTCAGCTGCTGGGCCTGTAATGTGGTCACCTGGTTGCCAGCGCTGCCCACCACCGGCTTCAGCTCCGACCTCCCACCTATAGTCACCACTTTAAACTGTGGAGCTGGAGATTTGAGCTCTCCTGCAGTCTGTGAAACGCCAGGTTTGCTGCCTGTGTGGGGTAACTGCAGCACTATAGGCTGCCCCGACTTTCCTATCGCTGTGACCAAAAGTTTCTGCCCCTCCTGCTTGATGACCTGGGGCAGAGTACCTGCAGACTTTGCTGCTTCTGTGGCTTGAGATGAGGCCACCTTGTTGAGAATGATCTGGTGGTTTGCGGCAGACATGGTGAACGGAGTCGTGAGCCTCTGCAGCCCACTGGTAGACACAGTAGTCCCAGTAACGCTATCTGTAGTTTTGGTGGTGGCTGTGGAAGTAACCATGGAGGGTTTGAGGGTAAGAAGGGGCGACGATGTGCTGGAAACTGAGATGGGAAGCTGACTTCCGGAGCTGACGCTGAACGTCGAGTCCGTGGCAGCGGATGTGGTCAGAGCGCGAGTGTGTGCCGTTGAAGAAGCGTCCGAACAGAGGCTCAGATTTTCTGAAGCCACGGGCGTATCCGTTTCCATCGGGACCGATGCGTCATCGCCGGGCTCTGGCTGAACCGTGGCGCTGTCGGGTTGGGAGTGAGGCATGTCCTCGATGGCCTCAGTGTCCATGATCTCATCAGGAAGGAGGCTGTTGAGCTCCGGTGACACCACATCCATGCTTGCAAAGTCTCAGCTCTCTGTTAATCCCAAAAGAACAACGCAATTAGTTTTGTTATGTGTCACAGATAGGCAAAAATGTTCCACTTTACGCATTTAAATTGTAGTTAAATACACAGAACACTGAACTTTTATCATTTTTAATTATTTAAATGCAATTATTTTAACCAGATTTGGGAGACGCATGTATTTACTGCACTTAATGCATCATAGAGCCTGACGCACACAACGTATCTGAGGGGGATTTGTTGATTACTTTGCACAAAGTTGTTGGATTTAATTGCAATAAACAAGATTTACAATTTTAAAATATATATTGTGACCCACAAATCTTTTTCTCTAGATTTAAGAAAACACATTTGTTTGGTACAGACCCCCCAAAAATGTCCCATAGTCATGATTTTAATCATTTTTTTCAGTGAAATTAAAAATTGTAATGCAAAAAAATGATCATTCCCAGACTAACAGAGTCATATCGCAGTATCTGTCAAAATATGTTATATAATATGTTTTTACCTCATCGTGCAAGCCCCTAAATTGAACACACATACATTTTAGTTAACACTTATTAAATGAAATGCATCATAGAGCCTGACGCACACAACATATCTGAGGAAGAATTAAGAGAATATGTTCATTACTTTACAAAGTTCTTGGATTTAATTGCAATTAACAAGATTATTATTTTTTTATTGCTCAAACTGGACAATAAAGCAATGTGCTTGAAAGGTTTTTGCACAGAAAATAAACAAACAAGGCAGTTAAAGTGAGCGAGTATTCACAGCAAAAGCGGTTCGATAAGTTTAAGCAGGTATCTGCAGCATAAACTGCTTTCAGCTTCAGTATAACCTTAAATTAAACTGATTATTATCCTTCTGAATGAGGTTTAATATAAAGAATGCTCCTGTTTTTCTTAATATGTCTGCTTTATCCCTGTCTGTATTTGTTTTATTGAGTTTTTATCTTAAGTAAACCATCTCGTGTGTTTTATTTGTTGATTTTTTTGTACACATTACATGTTTTATTGTGTATCTGCAGGACGCCACTCTGAATGATGTTTTATACACACAGTGCTCCCGTTTTTCTGAACATAATCTGCATTTGTTTCGGTGTCTTTTTATCTTGTAAGTGAACAGTTTCATTGTTTAACTGCTCTTTCGTATCCGCAGGACGCCACTCTGAATGAAAGCGTCGCTCTCAACTGACTTTTCCTGCTTAAATAAAAAAAAGGATTTCTTTAAAATCTGTGAATTAATTATCAGTAACCAGCAGAAAAAGGTTGTTTTTTTTTTGAGCTCTACAGATTTTGGACACAGGGTGACAGCTGAGCTAGGCCTTATGTTTGTCCTGCTGCACTCTCCTCAACATTAATCCACTGAAACATATGAACACACACACACACACACACACACACACACTAAGCTGTAGCGAGCTGCACTTTTTAACGAAAATAAACCCCCCCACCACCCCCAGAAGAAGCCCCAGTTGGGGGCAAAGAGTGAGGAAAAGGCGACAGGCTGTGTTTCTATTTCAGGGCCGGGGTTGGATTTCGAAAGATCCGCCATTTTCACCTCGTCATCAGGTCTGTTAGCTCCTCTGCTAGCGCTGAGCTATTGGGCAGAATGACGAAATGCATTTTAACTTTATTGTTTTGCAGCCGGAGACACTGTTCGACCACTATAAACACACACACACACACAGAGAGAGAGAGTGGAGGATAATACACTTGCTTTATGTGTGTGTGTGTGTGTGTGTGTGTGTGTGTGTGCGTGCGTGCAACTAACAAACTCTTTCAGCTGACAACGTAAACAATGCTCGCTTTCAATAATTCCCGCTGTCACTTGAGACATCCCATCCTGATTGGGAACATTTACACTGCAGACGAGTGCAGCTGCAACCTAAAGAAGAAAAAAAAAAGGCACGTGCAGCCCGCGATTCAAGTTTTACATTTTATAAATAACACATTTTAGTTAACATAAACAAGTAAAGCCTCTTTTTTTTTTGCACAAAATCCGTTTCTAAAGCCAGATTCAATACAAGGTTTAAGGCAAAGCTACCAGCAACTTGTCCTATTATATATTTTTTAAATAACAGTACACATAGAAGGAATAGTTAATGCAGAAATCGCTTTAACATCCCATCAAAACAACTCTTAAATACTCAGATAAAGAGAGCAGACACCTCCAGCGCCCAGACAGGAAGCAGCAAACCGGTATTTCTTCGATAACAGCCGAACAAACACTGCTCAGACACCGACACACACACAACGGACGGCGAATTAACAGTTTATGAGTCGGTGTTCAATTCGGCGTGTGTGTGATCCACCGACAAACACTTATTTTGGGGAGAAATCACAACTTTCGAAACGGTCCGCCGCTCATTCGCACACTTTTTCCCCCCAGCTGAAAGAGCGCAGCTACACCGGAGGCTGAGCGCACCGAGGCGGTAAAATGTAAAGTTTATACACAATATAGTTTATTTTTAAGGATTATATTTGTGCCGAATTGACCAGGAGACTGTGGATAAATGACTCGCTTCCGCTGGTGTTTCTAGAGTCACGTTTTATCGCGAACACGTTAGGAAATGTTAAAATGTGATATTT